GATAGTGAATTGGAAAAGCCATGGAGTCCAGGGCTAGGAGACTTGGATACCAACTCTGCTTCTTCTATTGCTCCTGTGTCATCATGGAGACTAATTCATACTTCAAAGCCACTTTTCTTTCCTTTAAAAAAGGCAAGCAAGAGCCAGGTGCGGTGGTTCACATCCATAACCCCAGCGATTCAGGAGGCTGATATCTGAGGAGTGTAGTTTGAAGCCAGCCCAGGCAGAAAAGTTCATTAGACTCTTATCTCCAATTAGCCACCAGAAAAAAAAAAAAGCCAGAGGTGGACCTGCAGCTTAATTGGTAGAGTGTTAGCCTTGAACAAAATAGCTCAAAGACAATACCCAGGTCCCAAATACAAGTCCCAGGACTGGCACACATACACATTCACACACATACACAAGTTAAGCAAACTCAGGGGCTGGGAATGTGGCCTAGTGATAAAGTGTTTGCCTAGCATGCATGAAACCCTGGGTTCAATTCCTCAGTACCATATAAACAGAAAAGGCTGGAAGTGGCACTGTGGCTCAAGTGGTAGAGTGGCTAGCCTTGAGCAAATGAAGCTCAGAGACACTGCTTAGGCCCTGAGTTCCAGCCCTAGGACTGGCAAAAACAAAGACCAAAACAAACAAACAAGTTAAGCAAACTGGCTGTGGTAGCATACTCCTGTAGTCTCAATGTTCAAGAAATTGAGAGGAAAAGGAATTGGAGCTCAGGAGTCCAGGATCAGGCTGTACAGCACTGTGAGACCCTCATCTCAACAAAATAGATGCAAAAACAAGCTCTCTCTCTCTTTCTCTCTCTCTCTCTCTCTCAGACATACACAAACGCAGAGAGAGAAAACAAAGGAAACAAGCAAAAGAAAAGGCAATTAATGCCTTTTGCTATTGTCTTCCTTGGTTTATTGGCAAGCTCTCTTCATTGACATGCTCAGTCTCTAAAGTCTCCATTTGTGAAAAGTGGTTCTGTTGAGAAGAAGAGAAGAAAAGCTGTCTTCCAATCTGGAAAAGCCTGGCATGCTATCTTTGAATACTGGAAAATCCTGGCAAGTTCAAGTTACCTTGTAACACCAACCCCTGTCTTTTCCTAAAGTGCTATAAAGCACTTAAAATAAGTCAGCATGTTACAATCACATTATTTTGAGGGTTTTCCAAGAATCTCATGATTATCTTAAATCTCGTTATTTCTAGGGAAAGAGGTTAAGAAAAAAATAAAACAACAACTAAGGCTAATGACCACACCACAACGTTTCTTATATAAATTGATAATTCAATGGAAGTTTTTGTAGTAAACACCCCTCATTGCTACCTGATATTTATACAATGCCTTCATTTTCCTGGCCCACTGCACAAAGTAGATTTCAAGTCATAACTCTAAATGTTAATAGTCTTTTCTGGCATTTTATCATAGTACAGAACATACCATTTTGCTATGAATAGTTAGTCCGTTATGTAAAACATCTCTGGCCTACAGGGGAGAAATCTGCACAGTGACTAGAAAATCTAGGAGGAGAACCACAAATAGATCACAGCTGTTTTCCATGTTTCCCTTCTTCACTAGTAACAAATGAACAAACAAACACTCTTTTTCTCTCCTCTTCCTTTTTGGCCGTACTAAGGTTTGAATTCTAGGCCTCCTTCTTGTTAGGCAAATACTGGATTACCGGAGTCACACCTTGAGCCTCTTTTTGCCTTAGTAGTAGTAGTAGTAGTAGTAATAGTTGTTGTTATTATTATTAGATAGCATCCCCTCTTTTCCCCTAGGCTGGCCTTCAAACCATAATCCTCTGATCTGCACCTACTGAGTAGCTGGGATTATAAAAGTGAGCCACTGTACCTGCCTAAACGCCTTTTCAACTCTCCCTGTATATTTAAATGCTGTGCAAAGTGGCTTAGACTCGTTTACTCAGTAAACTCTGGTGCTGCCATGCTGATGCTACCAAGTGACCAAGTCAAAGATGAACAATCACATCACCTCAGTGAAAGCTCGCAAAAGAGCCCCTCTGAACTTTGACAATTCTAGCTTTGTGGCCAGTGACCCTGAGCCTGTGTTTCCTTATTTGTAAAATGGGAATAAAATTGTAGCCATTTCACGGGTTACTGTGGGTGTTATATGAGATTCTCCCAGCATAGCACCCTGTCCATAGCAAAAGCTCAGGAAATAACACCTGCTTTATGATGATGATAAGACAAAACACCGTTATCACTTACCTTTCAAGGACATTGTTAGAATTAGGTTAGCAGCCTTTCTCTTGACTGACCTTTTTTTTTTTTTTTTGCCTGTTCATCTGTATTTTGCTAATTCTTATTTTCCCAAGCAATTTTAACTTCTAAGAATAGAAACTGGGTCTTGTATTTTTTCAATATATTATAATGTCCAGCAAATGCATTGAGAATAATCGGTATTTGATGTGTATTTGTATGTGAAAAAAAAACCCATCAACAACAAACACTGTAACTACTAGAAAAGAGTATTAGAAATTTCCCAAATCAAAGGAAATTATTTAAGAGATATCCTGGCTTTCTTTTCTAAGAATTCTATTTATTTATAGATAGTAGAACAGTACTTTGACTACAATTATAAAAATGACAAATACTGTTAGCACAAAACAGGTGAACTAATATAAAGATAAGTCCAATACTGAGAGATGATTTGCAACACTTACTGTTCTACGAAGATTCTTCTTCCTTAAAAATCCTACCTGTGCAAGTCTGGTGCTGGTGGCTCACCAGCTACTCAGGAGACTGAGATACAGAGTAAACTCTATCTCCAACTAAATAGCAAGCTGCCTAGAGGTGTGGTCAAGTGGTAGAGCCCAAGCTACGTAAGCTCAAGAAATCCCCAGCAAAGTGGGGGGGGGGAAGCTATGCTTTAGAACATTTTTTTCACATTAAAATTTATTCTAAGAATAAATGATGAGATTCAGGGCTGGAAATTTACCATCCTATCTAACCAGGATGACGTTCAAGAACCATGACACATGATTAAGGGCCTATAGCAAACTCTTCCAGGGCCCACTGTACCTAAGAGCCAAGAACTGAATATTTCACACTGAAATGGGGGAAGAAAGTGTCAGCTCTTAGCCACAAAGGTCCTCTCAGTTACATGCTGTACAGGAAACTAGCATTGTACCACTCTTTACTGATGGAGAGTAAAAATCTAAAGCGTATTGGCTTCTGTGAAGCTGGATATAATATTAAAAGCTAGCAATGCAAGCCAAAGGAACATAGACTTTGGAGCCACAAACCTGTAACTCTCTTTGTGTGTGCACAACTTTCCATATGTGTAAAATGGAAATACTGATAACACCTTCATTGTGTTTATAAAGAATTTTATAGGATAACAACAAAACCCAAGGGTCAAGTATGTGGTAGGTGTTCGACAAGGAGTTTCATTCATATAGAGAGCACACCACACATTGTAACAATTACCAGACTAGAAAGAAAGAAAGAACAAAAGAAGGAAAGAAAAAAGGACAAAAGAAGAAAGAAAGAAAGAAAAAGAAAGAAAGAAAGAAAGAAAGAAAACTGACTCATTTTGCCCTATTCTTTAAGGGGCTTGAACTCAGGCCTTGTGCTTTCTTTTATTTAGCTTTTCCTCTCAAAGCTGGTGCTCTACCACTTGACACACAGCTCCACTTCTGGGCGTTTAGCTGATAACCTGGAGATAAGAGTCACAGACTTTTCTTCCTGGAGTTGGCTTTGATCCTCAGATCTTAGCCTCCTGAGTAACTAGGATTACAGATGTGAACCAGGGGCTTGCCTTCATTTTTGTCTCTTCTCTTCCCTTCCCTTCCCTTTCCTTTCCTTTTCCTTTTCTCTTCTTTTCCTCTTCTCTTCCCTTCCCGGTCCTTTTCCTTTTCGTTTCCTCTTCTCTTCTCTTTTCTGTCCCTCTCTTCCTCCCTCCTTCCTCTCTCCCTCCCTCCCTCCCTCCCTCCCTCCCTCCCTCCCTTCCTTCCTTCCTTTTTCTCCCTCCCTTCCTTCCTTCCTTCCTCCCTTCTTCCCTCCTAACCTCCCTTCCTTCCTTCCTTCCTTCCTTCTTTCCTTTGTTCTTCCTCTTTCTTTCCCTCCTTCTTCTTTCCCAAGGAAAATCTTTACGTTTCAGAGTTACTATTTGCAAAACCTGAATAGAAGTGCACTTACACAGGCGCCCTTGCAAAGCGCAAGAAGCCCCCCCCCCCAGAAGGTAAGAAGAACCTCACATTTCACATCTGATGGTCGTGACCCCACAGGCCCCTGCTGGTTACCGGCCAGGCCACAGAAAGTGCTGTCTGGCAGGGCAGTATACCCTCATCCAAGACAGAAGGAAGATCTCCCAAGGGTCTTACCGCACGGCAGATCCGTGGGCCTGGGCCAGGGTCTGGACCCCGAGGGGTCCCTCTGCTCCGTCCCACAAGCAAGCTCAGCTCAGCGTCCCCGTGAACTCCAGGGAGGCTCCGCGTGAGCGCCGTCCTCTCCCTCCAGCCTAGCTCCAATCCATCAGGAACTCGGTGAGGAGAAACCCCCACTGCAGCTCCAGGGGCTCAGCTCGTGCTCGGGATCCCCAGCTCCCGCCGCCCACAGGAGCCGCCGATCAACTCACCGCTCATGGCCAGCCCTGGTTCTCCGGCCCGCGGGGACCGCACCGGGGCCCCCGATGATCCTCTGGGCCACACGTGCGTGTGGCTCCCCGCTCACCCGTGCTCGCCGCCCAGCCCGAAGTGAGCACACCGGGCCAGGGCGAATCCCAGCGTCCGGCCGTGTCCCTGCCCCTGACCATGACGGTGACCGCAGCCGTCAAAGGGGAAGAACCCGGCTTCCCCAGCAGCAGCGGGACTCGGCTGGGCCTCGTGCCTGCGGGTGGCCCGTCCGCTCCCCACCACCAGCCGCCCGGCCGAGGTTCTGCCACCTGGGAGCCCGGCGTGTGTCACCGTGCGCCAGGCAGTCCCCTCTCTCCCCGGGCCACCTTGATCTTCGGAGAGCAGAGTCTGCCTCCTGGGACGGAGCGCAGACAGACTCACCAAGATATCTGAGACACCCAGATAGAGGCAGGATAAAGTCATCTTCTCGGCTCCCTCTGCTACGCACAAGCGGCACTTTTGTCGTTGCAAACCTCGGGGGAATTTGTCCCCGAGTCTGAGCTTCCTCTGCGCCCTGGACCGTAGTAGCAGTGAGGGAGCACTCACCGAGCCGGGCAGGAACTGGTAGAACCTTCCTTCAATGTGCCGTCTAAGAAGCGAGAAAGAAACCTCTAATGAGGGACTTCGGTGCGGTTCTGAGAGAAGGGGCCATCCAGTGAGAAATCAAAAGAACCTCCACAGAAACTCTGATACGCTGCTGCTTCATCACCGGATCATTTCCGTTTCCATTTATTCATTTCAAGGTTCTTCTTTTTAATGAACTTTTTTTTAAATTGTGAAAATACCGTACAGAGGGGTTTCAATTACATGGGTAAGATAATGAGTACATTTCTTATCAAGCATTGTTGTCTCTTCCTTTGTTTCCCCTTCCCGTCCCTTCCCATTTCTCCCTCCTCCTCCCTTCTCTCCACCCCCCCCCCGCCTTTTCGACATAACGACTTGTACATCTCATTGTTGCAATGGGTCCACCTGTATCCCTGTTTAAATGATTTGTTTTTTCCCTTCCCCTCCACAAATTATAACAACATCAAATACAGTGAAAGCAGGGGTTATACCGTGGGGGAGGGACATACAAAGCAACAAAGAAATCATATATGTGAGAAACAATCTCAAGAAAGAAAAAACATTTGAGACCTTATCTTGGGGTTTATTTCGCCTAACATCAACTTATCTGACCTTTTCTGCTTGTCTCAGACATATACTAGTTATTGCAAATAAGGGAAACCATGGGACCTATGTTTCTTTGGGCTTGGCTTACTTCACTTAATATATTTTTTTCCAAGGTTCTTTTTAGACTATTACAGATGTGTGTTTATGATCTATCATTCTTTTGCTTTCAAAAAAGTGAAAAGAAATTTAAACAAAATAATTTAAAATTTTTTAAGATATTAACAGAGTAGGATACTCCTGATAGCTTTCATGTTTCACTCAGTGTCATCACAAGTGACCTGTTAATAAAGCAGCATTAAAAAAAATACTACCCTACTCCCCACCCCAAGTATTCTTCAGGCCCTGGAGCAGAAAGAGTGTGGGTTGGCTGAGGGTGTTTAGGTACAGGGTGGCATGCGCAAGAAGAGAACTCTGTTACCATACTGCCCAGACAGTACCGTGAGATCTCTCTGATAATACTCAATGAACATGTGTAAAGATGAAACGTAATAAATTGAGGGCATGGGTATGATTGAGAGAGATGGGGGAGAATGATGAAAGGGGTGACACTGATCAAGATGCATCGCTCTTAAACTGACATGTTGAATTGAAACCCTTTTGTACAACTACTGAAAGATAATAAACATATAAATTGAACAAAGACCTCTCCCAAATTTGGTGATGTTCAATAGGAAAAATGGACAGCAAGCCGGGTGCCCGTGGCTCATGCCTGTAATCGTAACTACTCAGGAGCTGAGGTCAGAGTATCACAGTTCAAAGCCAGCCCAGGTAGGAAAGTCCGTGAGACTCTTATCTCCAATAAACCATTAGAAAAACCAGAAGTGGCGCTGTAGCTCAAGTGGTAGAGTGCTAGCCTTGAGCTGAGGAGCTGAGGGACAGTGCTAAGGCCCAGAGTTCAAGCCCCATGACCTACAAAAAAAAAAAAAGAAAAATGGAAATCAGTGATTTGTAAGTATGTATTTTAATTTATATGCTTTAGTAACTTGTTTATGTGAATACTTTGTTACAAATGAATCTTTTTAAAATTTTATTTTATTGTAAAAATGCTGTATAGAGTGGTTACACTTACAAGAATAAGATGATGAGCACATTTCTTGTTGAACATTGTTACTCTCTCCTTTGTTTTTCTTATTCTATCCCTTCCCTCCCCTACCTCCCTCATTCCTTCCCCCCCACCAGAAGTTGTAAAGTTCGTTTCGCACATAGTGTCTTGTATCATTGTTGCAATGGGTCATCCTGTGTCCTTGTTTCAGCATTATTATTCCCCTTCTCCTCCCCAAATTAGATAAATGTATATACAAGATGCAGGGTACCAAAATAAAATACAGTGACAACAGGGCATTTATACCATAGGGGGAAGAACATACAAAAGAAACAAAAAAAATCACATAGTCCTTTAAAAACAATAACAAAGAAAAGCTTCTTGTATCCATATCTTGGGGTTCATTTCAGTTAGCATCATCTTATATGGTCATATGCACGTAACTTTTGAGCTTTTCTGCTCATCTGATAAGATTATCCCCTAGATGTATACTAATTATTGCAAATAAGAGAAACCATGGGACTGTATTTCTTTGGGTTTGGCTTACTTCACTTATTATTATTTTTTCCAAGTCTTTCCATATCCTAAAAAATGTATATATACACCACATTTTCTTGATCCATTCCTCTACTGAGGGGCATCTGGGTTGGTTCCATATCTTAGCTATGGTGAATAATGCTATGATAAACATAGTTGTGCTGGTAGATTTAGTTTGTGATCAACAAATGAATCTTTTTAAAATTGTAGCATTATAATACTGCTTTATCACAAAATGGTACCTGATTGTAAAAATCGTTTGTAACAATTAGGTATCATCTTGTGACAGTTTCCTTTCTTTTCTTTTCTTTTTCTTTTTTTATTATTGAAGTTGCATTGCTTTTTTTTTTTGCCAGTCCTGGGGCTTGAACTCAGAATTCAGGGCTTGGGTGCTGTCCCTGAGCTTCTTTTGTTCAAGGATAGCACTCTATCACTTGAGCCACAGTGCCACTTCAGGCTTTTTCAGTTTATGTGGTACTGAGGAATCTATCCAGGGCTTCATGTATGATGCTAGGCAAGCACTCTACCACTAAACCACCTTCCCAGCCTATGACAAAGTTTTCTTGTTAAGAAAGTTATTTAATATGAGTTTATTAGAAATATTTTTATAAAAATAAATATCCAAACTTTCTGAACTTCTCAGTACTTATATGTAGTTCTTTCTCAGTAATATGTTACTCAATACTCAAAGATTTTTCTAAATGAAACATAAAAACCCAAACCCACACGTAATTTTGTTCCTTCAAACCAATGTTAACCCCAAGTGAAAACATAATGAGAATATTTTAAAGCAAATATTTCAAGATCTTGCCATCAGGTTATGGGATGTGTGTGTGTGTGTGTGTGTGTGTGTGTGTGTGTGTGTGTGTGTGTGTGTGTGTGTGTGTGTGTGCCAGCCTGGGGTTTGAACTCAGGGCCTGAACATTGTTTCCGAGCCTCTTTGTGCTCAAAGCTAGTGCTCTGCCATTTGAGCCTCAGTGCCATTTCTGGCTTTTCTGAGTAGTTTACTGGTGATAGGAGTCTCATGGGGCTGGGAATATGACTTAGTAGTAGAGTGCTTGCCTAGCATGTATGAATCTTTGATTCCTGAATACCACATAAATAGAAAAAGCCGAAAGTGGCACTTATGGCTCAAGTGGTGGAGTGCTAACCTTGAGCAAAAAAGGCTTAAGGATAGTGCCCAGGCTCTGAGTTCAAGCCCCATGACTAACAAAAAAAGAAAAAAAAATAGTCTCATGGACTTTTCTGTCCAGGCTGGCTTTGAATCACGATCCTCAGATTTCAGCCTCCTGAGTACCTAAGTATGAGTCTGTATAATTTTGATGGTAAAAATTAGATAAATTTGTCAGCTACACAAACATGTTTTTTTAAAGTAATGGAACCTATTTACTTACTACCTTTCAGTCTCTTAAATTTTTTTTGCCAGATTCTATTTAATAGAAATAAACCACATTTTATTAAATAAAGCAAAGGGAAAGTAATACAAAAACTGTGCAAGTTAATTGAAAGAATACATAGGTGACTACCAATTACAATAGTTACAATAACTAGAGTTAAGTGAAGTACAATTTATTTTAACAAATGTTCTTAAACAGCACTCAAGGTTTCAAGTAACAATTGAGCGACTCTTGTTAACTTATTGACTTTGGGTTGGATGGACAGCAGTGTAACTAACATGCATTGATTTGTTTTAAGAATTCTCACTGTAATACAGAGCACCAGTGGCTCAAACCTGTAATCTTAGCTACTCAGGAGGCTGAGATCTGAGGATCGCAGTTCAAAGTCAGATTGGGCAGGCAAGTCTCTGAGACTCTTATCTCCAATTAACCACCAGGAAACCAAAAGTGAGGCTGTGGCTCAAAGTGGTAGAGTGCTTACCTTGAGCTGAAGAGCTTAGAATAGTGCCCAGGCCCAGAGTTCAAGCCCCATGACCACCACCAACAACAAAAATTCTCACAGTGGAGGATAGTATCATAGACCTCTCAAAATCCAGCTGTCTAATTGAGCACGTCAATAAACTTTAAGCCTATTTGTTTGCAAAATATGAATATCCAGAAGCTTCTGATTAGTTTGAAAAGACAACTGATTGATATCAAGGATAAGGTAACGGCAGTGCATATTAATACCAAGATTCTGTAATTTATGGATTAGATTAAAAAATACTTTGTAGTGAGGAGAAAGCCTTTCATTTTATTTACATCTTTATTGACATATAAAGGAAAAAATGGAACATATTTTGGGGATGTGGTTTTTAAAATCCTTTATATGTTTATTTTTTTCTGAAGGACTAATTTAATATGTTGAGATATCACTGTTCTATTAACCAGTAACTCAGCAGCTTATAACATTGTTAAGTCAAGGTCATTTTCAAAAGCATCTGGGCATTTTCTCTGAGGGACAAGGATTTGAATATAATTGTGAAACAAACATAACAAATTATGAAAACACAATATGATACAGGTAATGTGGATAGTTTGCTATAGTCATCTTCTCAATATGCAAGCAAACTACAGGATGAACTACTTTGCATAGTTCTAAAAGGATCAACATGGTCTAAGTCCAACAGTGTATCATTCAACTCAGGGATCATGTGAAAATTTACACTAATGGTTATTGGCAACAGTGGTTCTCTCATTCTGCATGTTCCTTGGTATACAAGGAATGACACATGATTCCATCTCATTAGTTTTGGTCAACCAAAGTTAGAGATGTTGAATCTTCCAAATAAATGTTCCATTTAGTTAAAAAGTAGTTGAGCTATACATAATTTTTCTTTTTTGTGTGTGTGTCCGGTTGTGGGGCCTGAACTCTGGGCCTGGGTGCTGTCCCTCA